CTATCAGAGATGTGATTGCCTTCCCCAAATCCTTCCAGGGACATGATCTCATGAGCAATGCCCCTGATGCTGTCCCTCCTGAGGAACTGAAGCCCTATCATATTCAAGTCTCCTGGCCAACAAACTCAGAAGCAGAAAAGAGTTCTTTGAATCATTCACACCATCGAGAAAGTTGAGGGTTTGAGTTTTGTCCTCTGTGCTTCACCAATGCAGAAATCAGATCCAGGTCTGCCACAAAACTGACAATCAAATTTTTAGGTGAAAGTAACCCAGGCAATATTTTTCACAATAAGAAACAGAAGATACCTGATTTTGATTTGATAACGTACTATTAGGGCTTTTATTAATTTTTGGTTGAGTTTTTTGAAGTTCCTTTTTACTTGCAGAGTATAAAGATGGCTTTTTACTAGAGAAATACAGTAGCTTAATGTTTTCTAATAATGTTTTCCATACCCAGATTATTCACATAGGTCAGAGGAAGTCAAATCATGAAGGAAAATGCTTGCTTCTGTATACTGGTGATGGAGGGAAGGTTGTGGTTCATCCAGCCTCAAGAGACTGATAAATTAAGCTTCACGGTGACATTTAAACTACCAACACAATATAGTAAGAATAACAACATAATGCAGAAAACATCACTGAAATGAGTCACAAAATCTTACTCAGTGTTTCACTTCAAGAAAAATCTCACTTAGCCTCATTTCCTACATATGCGAAATGTAAACAGTACTTTCTCTGGCTACCTCGTAGCGCTCTTCTTGCCAAAATCCGAAGAGACATTTGTAGAAAATAATGTGAATGAAAATGAAAAACTGAATCAGGGTTGAGATGTTAGCTCAGTGATGGATCACTTGCCTACTATGAAAGACCCTGGGTTCTATCCCCAATAACACACAAAAGCATTACACAAATTCAACATTATCCATATATAAACATCTATAAGCCGGGCGTGGTGGCACACACCTGTAATCCCAGCACTGGGGGGCTGAGGCAGGAGGATCCTGTGAGTTCGAGACCAGCCTGGGCTACATAGTGAGTTCCAGGTCAGTCTCAACTACATAGTGAGACCCTGTCTCAAAAAACAAAACAAAACAACAAATATATATATATATATTTTATAGTTGAAGAGGAAACAAACCTGTAACCACAGCTACCTGGGGGGCTGAGCCAGGTGATTCGAAAGTTCAAGGCCAGCCTGGGCAACTTAGTGAGATCTCTTCTCAAAAAACAAACCAATAAAACTGGATGAGGCTTCTATAGGTATTTGGGGAAAGAATGGCATAGGTATGCATACATATATCAGCAGTTTAATAAAAAACAGTTGATGGCTTTTATTTGTAAAGTAGGTATAATGAGCTTGATGGGGAAAATGGGATTGAAGAATTCAGAAGATCTGGGTTGCAGCTTGGTGGTAGAGTGCTTGACTAGCTTATCACACAAGACCCTGGGTGGGGTCACAGAGCCGTCCTTGGCCAAGTCCAGAAGTCCAGCCAGAAGCTGTGGCCAATTGTCAGTGCCAAGGGAAGGCTCCTGTGTCCCTGTGGCTCCTCAGACTGGCAGTGTCCTCTGCTGTCACCATCACACTCCAAGCAGCTCACAAGGTGTGCAGCCCCCCCCCGCCCCCGCCCCCCGAGTTTTGGTAGCAGTGGGAGGTGGAAGCTAGCAGGGGTACCCTCCAGGATCCCAGTGGTGCCCCATCCCCCTGCACCTTCCCCTCCGCAGAGCCTGGCTGGGCCTCCCTCGGCCACGGGCCATGCCACTAAAGACAGACACTTGTGCTCCCAAGTGGTGGCTTTACTTTGTTTGTATTGGAAATTGTGGGTAATGTGAACAAATTGTAGCATTTCCTCCTCAAAAAAAAAAAAAAAAAAAAAAAAATCCCCTGTACCACAAATCAAAACCAAATCATTCTAATAAGTCGTACTTTGTTTTGGAGACAGGGTCTCACTATGCAGTTTAAACTAGCCTTTAACTCACTGTAGCCCAGGTTGGCCTCAAACACATGGCAGTCCTCCTGCCTCAGGGTCAGGAGAACACTGCCCAGCTCAATAACTGAAAATACTAATTGACCAAACTTCATATACACAAAGTGAACTGAAATGTATGGTTTTCTTGTAAATTCCACTGGTGCAAATAAAAGCTATAAGCATCACAGAATGGGAATATGGCCTTGATTTTGACTACCCCCTTTCTCTTGTGCAAATAAAAGCTATAAGCATCACAGAATGGGAATATGGCCTTGATTTTGACTACCCCCTTTTCTCTTGTGTTTTTGATTTGTAGACATTAAATACCTATTTTCTCAAGGCTCTAATAGGATACTATAATCTGCTTGAAAACATGCTCTACACACAAATATGTGATGCTTTAGTCCATGTATGGATCATTGTCCTTTCCTGCTGCAGAAATGATTTGCTAGTAGCTGGTTTTTCCCTATTTTTTTCCTAATGTCTCCCTCATTTTAGTGTATTCAACCCAAAAAGACATTGCTGGCAGTCATGACTTAAGGGTATCCAGTTTTGCCTGACCTGAGAATCTCTAGGTTTCCTTTTTGGCAGGGAAATACAATTTTATACCCATGTGTTGCCTGCTAAATGTCATTCACTCTTATTTAGAGCTGATTCTGGCTAGTCACTCCCAGAAATGAGTTTACAAATGACATCCAAACTTATTTCCTAAGCTATAAATACCAAAAGTCCTAGGTTGCCAAGAGCCAAACAATCCTGCCATGTCACATTAGGCATTGCTCAAGCCTTTCTTCAGCACGGCCTGGAAAAATGCTTACTCTGAAATCGAAGGGAATGTAAAATAAAGCTTTCATTTAAGTGGACTAAAATTGTAAAACCCAGATTTTATGGAGCTGGAGGTAACAGCTCAGTGGAGAGGGCTTACCTACACGTGCTGCACCCTGGGTTTGATGCCCAGCACTGAAGAGGAAAAAAACTGCCAGCTGCAATACCAAGTCAGTATAGACAGCTTTGTCCTCCCATGTTGGGAAGAGATGTTCAGATGAAGTCTTTGTTCATAGGCTGTCACTGAAAAAAGTATACAGCTTTTACAAAAACCTCCCTTTCTGGGGAAACAAACTGATCTATATATAACACTGATCTTGGTTTTCATTAAGGATAATTTTAAGGATGGTGCCTTACGGGTACTTTTCTTAACCAGTATCACGATTAGATGCTGTATGTGTGTGTGCACGTGCACGTGTGCATGTTATGTAACACCCGAGGCCCATTGTGGTGACATACCTGTAATCCCACCACTCAGGTGGCTGGGGCAGGAAAATCACTGCAAATCTTTTGAGACTTTTTGGTACCAGGGATCAAACTCCGGATCTTGTGCTTTTGAGGCAGGCGGCAGAATCCCCAGCCCTCAAATCTTAAAATTTTTGAGTCTATTGGTATATCTTAGGTATACAGTAGTCATTCAACTGGGATCTTGTACCTTTACATGACAGGTCTTGGTTCATTTTTTCCCCGTCCCTGCTCTCCCTTCACCCCTCCTCCCTACCCCTTTACCAACACTTCATTTCCATTTTTTCATTTTCTCATTTTTTTTTAAATCTTAAATTTTTAAGGACAACTTGAATGAGACCTTAGCTCACAAAGCTACCCCCCCATCTTCATCTGTAAATCTCCCCTAAGTACACCTCAGATGTAAAATCTTGAGTTGGACACTCCTGGATATATAATTGCTGGCTTCACCACTCCGTCTGGCACCTATCATTGGCCCAGTTACTTAACCTCTAGACAGTTTGTCACTGAAGCCAAGCACGTTAGCACAGAACTGTACTCTCAGTACTTGTGAGGCAAGCAGATCTCCTGCACCAGATCTGGCTATACATAGTGAGTTCAAGACCAGGCTTAACTACATAGCAAGATCCTGAACTAATTTTTACAACTGTGATCTTTTCCATAATCCTGGCTGCAAACCAAGTTGGAGAACCCAAATTCATTGATTAGGTACAATCTTGACCTTACAGGGACATTCAATTCAGTTCTCACCCAATCTGGCTTGCAACCAGAATCATGGGGTTCCTTCACTGATGAAGCACAGCAAGTTTTTAGTGCTAGAATCTTGGCCAACGTAGAAACCCAGAGCTTTGGCACTGCTAAATGCCCAACATTTAAGTTTCACTGAACTGCCCATGGACTGGTCTTATCACAGGTAAGCACAGGTAGCAAACGGTGATGGCATGAACCATTGGACAAAGCTGTAATTTCAGCACTCTGGAAAGCTGAGGAAAAGGTTGAAGCCTACTACAGGGAGACCTCACGGCCAAAATGCTCAGCCTCAAATCTTACAGCACCTGAAAGTATTCCAGGTGTATGTACACCTAGGTAAATGCTGGTGAGAGGGATGAAATTCATGTCCTCCCTAGGTCATTGTGAAATGACCACAATGTAAATAAAGGGAGCTGGTTCAAAGACCTGCCGAATGGCTTCAGAAACATGCCAACATGGCTAAGGGCGGGGCTGCTGCCAGCAGTTACCTAGCATGCCCAGACAGATTTACAGATAGTTTCTCCAGGAGACTAGTCACTGCATTGCCTCATTATGCTTATCAAGTGCTTAAACTCCAGAAACTAAGTTTACCTAGTTTAGATCAGGGCTTCAGATGATAGGGAAATACTCACCAAGCACCCTAGTAGATTCCCACTTTAATAAACCTTTTGAGGGGAGCCACATTGATATATCCAGCTATTTTCCACACCCAACCTTAGCATAATTATTAACATTTTGATTGCTAAAAGTCTGTTCCCAGCCTTGGTTATCTGTAGTTGGATAACAAAAGGCTTGTTTTTCTTCCCAGTAGTCTTAATAACCCCACTGCTTTAGCCCACTTGTTTTTACACAGGAATAACCCAAACTGCATCTTTTTAAATGGTTCTAAAAAGTGAAGCAGTACCATGAAATCTCTAATTTGTGTACATGCTTCCACTTATGACAACTGATAGGTGAAAAGAATAACCTCAGTAACAAAAAAATATACCCTTCTCCAGACAGTTTCCACCAATTTATTAAAACTGACATGTTTAATCTTCTCTCCGATGAGCAACTATCCAGCTGCCTGCAATAAAGACAGTGATTTTAGTGCCATTTCCAGACTTCAACCCATATAGTAGTTAGGAAACAAACACAAGAATATCAGATCTTTTCTCATCATCAAGTAATCAGTGAGAGAGTTCAAGGTGAGGTGAGATCATCATGTATTCTGGACTAGGAAGAGTGCGGACATACTCAATCCTCACCTTTGTAAGGGTAAGCCATATGCCCACTGATGCCACAACGTCCTGAAAAAAAAACACACTATTAATTATGGCTAAAAAGTATCCTGTTATACTAATCAGTACTGTAACCTCAGCATCAAAATGGAACGGTTTTATAAGTGATATCATTTTACTTCATTTGGCAGAATCATCACATCATTGGTTACATTGCAAGTTATTACAGATATACAGAAGTTCTTACCTTAAAGGGTTCAGGGTCACAAATTTTACCTGTATGTATGGAAAAGGGGAAAAACCCATTTAAAATTTTCCCACAGGGTAGGGGGTATTGTTAAGTGGTAAAGAATGTGGCTTTCACTTGCATGAGCCCCTAATGCTCAAATCTCCAGGCTCCCAATGCACAATTGGTCCTATGCCATCTCCCTCTATTCATTTTAACTGTATAAGCAGCAAAGTAACAAGCCAGGAAATTTGGGCACGCATCATGCTGTAAAGTAAACTCCACTTTCCCAAGCAGGAGTTCAAGAGATGAAGTTCAACCTTACTACGTACACTGTTCAGGCTGACTGACCTTGAGGTCGTTTCAAGTCACGTCTTGGCCTGTCGAGTAGATGGGAGGTCCAGACATGAGACATCATGCCTGGCTTGCATCTTCATCCTTAATTCTGTAGTTTAACAGTGCAAAGAAAAGACATTTGTGATCCATGTTCCTCAATGTTTTCAAGGAGACAATAAAAGGTTACTGCAGCAAGATACATCAGATAGGAGCGAAAGACTTGATTGTTCATCAGTGTTTAGTCTGCTGAACTATGTTATCATCATTGTATCAGCTTTTAGATGAGTCCGTCTTGAGGGCTGAAGGTGTAGCTCAGTGGTAGAGCATTCACCTAGCAGCATACCCTAGGTTCAATCCCCAGCACCAAAAAAGATTTAAATTACTAACCTTTCTGAAAACTTCCACGGTGCATCATAGCCAAGCCTACTCCCCATACCTATGAAATTTTTATAGTCTAATTAAAAAGGTGGTTCATAGGCAGATTTTTTAAGATTCACCAATTACTGTTTCAGTTTCAAATTTGGCTTCATTCTCTTTCAGAGAGATTCCCATCTGTTTAAAACATCATCACTAACAGCATTTTGTTAAATACTTAAGATTAACAAAATATATTTACCTTTATAAAGGTCTTCATTATCTAGACCTGAAAAAAAAGTTCCGTTTTAGACACCATTTCATAACACTCGAGGACTACTAACTTGGAAAGACAATAGGCAAATTACTCAAAGTTTTAAAATAAACAGCTCCCTGTCCTACTGAGCATAGTATTTGGTATCACAAACACTAGTTAAAAATCACTTCAGAATTGTATGTAAAGCATAGGATACCAGGAAAGAAAAAAAACATTTGCTTACCAAAGCAAGCCATCCAGACTCTTCTAACCATTACCTAAAATAAAAACAGGAAAACCTTCATTAATATGCTAAAAACATTAAAATTTTCTTCACTGATTGTCACAGGGTTATTCAGTGTTAAATTTGTCTACATGCTCTTTTCAGGTCAGACATTTGATTAACATCATTACAAAAACCCCACAGAACAAGCTCAACCAAAATGCAAACATCCATTACTCAAATATGAGCTATCAAACCAAGCAATAGGCATGCCACTTGCAAGCATTCTCAGTCTTCAATCTAATTACTTACTCAAATTAAGGTTGCTCCAAGTGGTCAGACTCCACCTGTAAATGACGAATGGTTTTAGAATAGCCAAAGATGAATTTTCTCCCCCCAAAGCTAATAACAATGCCTGGGATCAGTTAGAGCTAATTAAGACCTTCATATATCAGTCAGTATTTGTTATCATCATCCAGGCTGTTCACAAATGGAATGTCTTAATAAATAGTGACAGGGCAAGGATCTGGCATTTTCCTAATGTGTTCAGAGGCCACAGTAGGACTGCTTACTACACAGAGGTACACTCCCCTGAAACACCATTACTTTGTTCCTTTAGTAGTTTGCCCTGTTACCTACGTTTAACTGAATAATTTCACTCACCATTTCAACTTCTAGCTTTCTGGTGCCTATGAAATAATTTAAATAGAATGTTAAGAAAATAACCCTTAATGGTGATGCCGAGTACCACAAAATTCAATCCCAGATACATCAGACAGGTGGTAAATCTCTTCATGATTTATCTGCTGAACTATGCAACCATCACGGTATCTGCTTCTTCCTCCTCCCACCAGTATTAACTTTAGCCATGAAAATAAGGGAAGCTCATATATAATTAAGCCAAATATAGTACTGCATGAATAACTTAAGTTCCTCACCTGTATGCCCATTACCGGAGGCTGTTTAGTACCTAAGAAGAAAACTTTGTCAACTGAGATGGAATCTCCACGTTCCCCATACCAGCTTTTTCTGTGCCTCAGTTAGAATAATGGTGGTTAAGATTATCGTCATTCTTACAGTCAAGAGTAGCAAATAAATGTCATCATTGTGGCACTCCTGCTGTTTTTCAATCATACTTCCCTCAGGGGTAAATTTAACTTACCTGAGTTCTCACCCTTCTTTGGCTCGTTAACTAGAAAACAAAAATATTCACAATGAGAAATATCCTCATATCAAGAATTAAATATGCTTCTGCGTCTCAAAGCCTCAGAATAAAAATTTTTCAGAAATCCCTTCTGCCCACTACTCTTACACCATCACAGGCTTGACACAAAAATCATCTCTTATGTTTCACTTTCCACCTTTCCCAAATTCTTACCTGTCCATAAAATGCCATTAAATGCCATTGCACCCGTATACAGTGCCATTCCTCCTGAAAAAAAAAAAATAGGTTAATTCATTTAAGTCAGAAGAACTTTAAATCATTCTTCTTATATCACATATGCCGCGAGCTCATAGCAGCCACAATTTCAACAGTTTAAGGGGTATGGAGTACCTCAGCGCTGGAGCGCTTAGCCGACATGCACAAATTCCAGCGTAAGACAATAAAAGATGTACTTAGTATTTATTACAAAAAAGATCGTTTTACTCGGGGCACAACTAGGACCAGAATAAAATGCTGCACTGCGGAACGCAGTTACCAGACACACGTGGGCTCCCCCTGCAGACATTTCCTGAGGTAAAGCAACTTGGGGATCAGGCTTCGGTCTACAGTGGCCTATCCGAGTGACTTGGCACGTGCCGCCATCAGAGCTGTTGGCATTCATCAGCATTCTCAGATGTCCCTACCAACACAGGCTTCATCATTCGGGAACGCGAGCCAAAGTCTTCTCCGCAGTTCGGCCCCAACAACCGACCTGGGATCACGCCTGCACCGAAGGCGCAACTTCTCCATCTTCCTAAGCCTTACAAAGCGACTGGCCTAGAAACACCAGCCAATTTTGGGTGACCCCAATGGTAAGGGAAGCAAGGGCCCCAAACAGGAAGGACTTATCTTCAAAAACGAACTAAAAGGGAGTAAAGCACTTGCAGGCTTGCCTAAAGTATGTAAGGCCTCGAGGTTCAATTACAAAAAAGAAAAATTTGAAAAAAAAAAAAAAAAATTTAAAAAAAAAAAAAAAAAAATCTAAAGCCAGTAAGACGATAACTTACCCACAACCAGCAAACTCCTACAGCTGAAAGAATGAGATGGCGCCGGAGGCCCCATATATAAGGACTCTCTTTTCGTGACGTCACGACGCACGCTCCTTTCCTGCGCCCGCTGCAGCTCCTCCCCGTTTCTTTCCCACCAAGCTCCTCCTTTTCCAGTCCCGCCCCGGCCACACCCTCTGACCACGCCCACCCTCGCCCTCGTGGGCGGGGACACGATCGCCCGGGTGACGCAGGGCTCCCGCGTTCCTGGTTCCTCCCGACCGAGGAAGAGCTGAGGGGAGGGGGCGCGAGGGCGAAAAGCGGTGGGGAGGGGAGGGGCGGTGTAAG